GTTAATATTGTTTATGCAGTCTTTCCTCTGTAATCATCAGGCTGCTCTTTTTGAAGATATATGTTGCTGGAAAAATCAATACATGTAAATTATCAGCCCTTCTGGCAGTAGGGGCTGAGCTGCATAGAAATGTTTTGATAATGTATCATGATATTATTGTCATGGCGTCTCCCACATTCCCATTGAAACCTCTGGGCTTATTTATTTTTTGCCTCCGTAGTGAAATTGATGTTGTTGGTAACAGTTTGCTTGCACAATTTACCTCTTTTGAAGTGGTTTCCATCTTCCTGTGCCCCCGAAACAGAAAATGTCGGTCGTGAGGAGGAGAGGCGTTAAAATAAGGATATTGATGATCAATAGGAGAGTTTTACAGCATACACAGCTGCAGAACTGCTGAATCTGTTTCAAACTAGTTTGGATGTAGGCTGACAACATATTTCTGCTTTACAAATGTTATATCCAAACTTTAAAAAAAGTAATTGGAAGTAATCGGATGAAAAACCTGAAAATGGTCATTTTTTTGGTTGACCAGTTTAATTTTCAGGAAGTGTCACTAAAGCTGAGGAAAGCTCAGAGAGTAAACAAATATCATCTGGACTAAACTGCATAGGTAGATGAACATTGTAGTGTTTCTGTTCCTGCTGATAAAACAATGCTTTAGAAGTGCTTTACGACCCTTTTTTATTCACTGCATTAAATCAGTATGAAGTATATAGCAACAATAATGCCTGATACTTAAATTATCCTAAATTGCTTTACATACCACCTCCTTTGGGCGGATGGAGGTCATCATCCACTACAGAGCAGCACCTGAGTGAGGTGGTAGGGATTGGGTGTCTTGCTCAAGGACACTTGTGAAGTGGATACTTCCCAAAACGCAGATGCATTAAACTTCAGGTTCCACTGTTGATGCCCTCGTTCATTAGACAACGTCCGCAAAGTCTTCTATAATACTTAAAGTTATCAGAGAAATCAGAGGTGAACTACCCACTAATTGGGACCCACTTCAGCAAAATTATTCATTTTGTTACACCATCTGTTAAGGCTTTGCTCTGTCTAGTCAGTCTCCAGAAGAATCGATGGCGTTTGAGGATTTGTGGTGAGATGAGAGGCAGCGATGCATCCATTGTCGGACCTTTCTTGAATAACCAAGTTATGCACAAGAGCAGTTGAGAGTGACACTGCTGATCAAAGATTGAGGTTGATGCTATGCTAATGTTTGCTAATTGTAATGATACACCAGTGCTTTTGCATTGACACACGAGTTCGCAACTCCGGATGACGGTGTTGTTTTGGGGATAATGGCGTGTGTAAATGGTTATTTTGAAGCTCACGGTCCTGACAGAACTTTGAGTGAAGTGAGCTGAGACTTTGGCAGACGGAGGAACACAAAGCTAGAACAAAATATCTCGCTGTGTTTTCTTCTCTTTGTCTCTGTCTCTTCCCTGATTTGCCATTTGTTTTTCTTCCATATTTCATATACTCTCTTAAAAGGGAGATCTAGACTCTTGAGTTATTAAATGTTGTCATTGACAGAATCATTTTCCTGCTCTCCCTCCATCACAATCTCTAAAGAGCTGCATACTTGAGTTATTGAATCAATGTTATTTATAAAAATCAATCATCCTCCGTTCACTTGCTTTCTTTTGCTCTCACTTGCTATTTGTTTTCACTTCCCTCCTCTTCCAAGCTCTGTCTTTTTTTTTATTGACTCTCCTGGGACTTGTTTTCTTCAGCTCTTTATCAACTCGCCTTCTCCGGTCTATCTTGTCTCGTTGCCTCCCTCTCCAACTCTCCAGAGAGCCCGGCAGATTATTTCAGTGCATGAGACCAGATAATCACTCTGCAGTCATTATGTCAGCTTTTCTCTCCTCTCTGTCTGCTGGAGCTGTATTGATGTGGAGAAACGTTTTGTCTTTGCAGTCAAATATTGTTCACATACAGTGGGTACGGATACAGTATTCAGACCCCTTTACATTTTTCACTCTGTTTCATTGTAGCCATTTGCTAAAATCAAAAAAGTTCATTTTATTTCTCATTAATGTACACTCAGCACCCCATCTTGACAGAAAAAACAGAAATGTAGAAATTTTTGCAAATTTATTAAAAAAGAAAAACTGAAATATCACATGGTCATAAGTATTCAGACCCTTTGCTCAGTATTGAGTAGAAGCACCCTTTTGAGCTAGTACAGCCATGAGTCTTCTTGGGAATGATGCAACAAGTTTTTCACACCTGGATTTGGGGATCCTCTGCCATTCTTCCTTGCAGATCCTCTCCAGTTCCGTCAGGTTGGGTGGTGAACAGCCATTTTCAGGTCTCTCCAGAGATGCTCAATTGGGTTTAGGTCAGGGCTCTGGCTGGGCCAGTCAAGAATGGTCACAGAGTTGTTCCGAAGTCACTCCTTTGTTATTTTAGCTGTGTGCTTAGGGTCATTGTCTTGTTGGAAGGTGAACCTTCGGCCCAGTCTGAGGTCCAGAGCACTCTGGAAGAGGTTTTCTTCCAGGATATCTCTGTACTTGGCCACATTCATCTTTCCTTCAATTGCAACCAGTCGTCCTGTCCCTGCAGCTGAGAAACACCCCCATAGCATGATGCTGCCACCACCATGTTTCACTGTTGGGATTGTATTGGGCAGGTGATGAGCAGTGCCTGGTTTTCTCCACACATACCGCTTAGAATTAACGCCAAAAAGTTCAATCTTGGTCTCATCAGACCAGAGAATCTTATTTCTCATAGTCTGGGAGTCCTTCATGTGTTTTTTGGCAAACTCTATGCGGGCTTTCATATGTCTTGCACTGAGGAGAGGCTTCCGTCGGGCCACTCTGCCATAAAGCCCCGAATGGTGGAGGGCTGCAGTGATGGTTGACTTTGTGGAACTTTCTCCCATCTCCCTACTGCATCTCTGGAGCTCAGCCACAGTGATCTTTGGGTTCTTCTTTACCTCTCTCACCAAGGCTCTTCTTCCACGATTGCTCAGTTTGGCTGGACGGCCAGGTCTAGGAAGAGTTCTGGTCGTCCAAACTTCTTCCATTTAAGGATTATGGAGGCCACTGTGCTCTTAGGAACCTTGAGTGCTGCAGAAATTCTTTTGTAACCTTGGCCAGATCTGTGCCTTGCCACAATTCTGTCTCTGAGCTCCTTGGGCAGTTCCTTCGACCTCATGATTCTCATTTGCTCTGACATGTAATGTGAGCTGTAAGGTCTTATATAGACAGGTGTGTGCCTTTCCTAATCAAGTCCAATCAGTTTAATTAAACACAGCTGGACTCCAATGAAGGAGTAGAACCATCTCAAGGAGGATCAGAAGAAATGGACAGCATGTGAGTTAAATATGAGTGTCACAGCAAAGGGTCTGAATACTTATGACCATGTGATATTTCAGTTTTTCTTTTTTAATAAATTTGCAAAAATTTCTACATTTCTGTTTTTTCTGTCAAGATGGGGTGCTGAGTGTACATTAATGAGAAATAAAATGAACTTTTTTGATTTTAGCAAATGGCTGCAATGAAACGGAGTGAAAAATTTAAAGGGGTCTGAATACTTTCCGTACCCACTGTAGATCTGCCGAACTGAGCAACAAACCACTTTTTTCGCGTGAGAATTTGATTAATCTGTTGGATTTTCTTTGTACATTATGGGGAGACACTTTATGTTCATAGTAGATGGTGTTATTGATTGTTTCAGGAGGAGTGCACATTATTAACTGTACAAATAAGCATGAGCTCCATAACATCTCAGCTCAACATGGTGTTTTCCTGAAGTACATTGAAAGGATCATACTTTAGTCTGTGTAAGCTGGCAGACAATCATGGTCATGTGCAAACTTCAGTCTGAAGAATCCCAAAATGACTTATTACAGTAATATTTACATCTTCGGATGCTTTCATACAGCCTGACACGTGCCAGTTTTATGCCTGCTAATATTTCAATGTTTGTGTTGTCATCATAGCTGGCACATGTAAACTTCTCAGTCCTTTTTTAGACAGATGAAGACTGCAGGACTTCAGCTAGACTCAACATAAGATTTGAGGGTTTTAAAACGAGATGACCAGGGCCAAGCAAGTGGGTCCAGCCCTCCTGCTCAGATCCAGCAATGCTGATTTTGAAATCGGAAAATTCCGTCTGCGTGATACCTGCCAAGGAATGCCGTGCGCCTTGAAGCGAGCCCATAACATTGGAGAGATTGATGTTACCTGAGAGACATTTATGTCCTCAGGGCATATGTGTGTGTGTTAGTCTGTCCATTTTGCAGACTAGGAGAAATAAACTGATGGAGAGAAAAATGTACTCCACTGCAAAACTCTTGTAGGATAACACTGGAATGAATGGAGTTTAACATCTAGATGGCTAAAAAGATAATATATCAAGGTTCTTATGAACAAAGGCTTACTTAATGTGCAATCATTGCGTTGTATTTTATTTTGTAGTCTTAACTTGCTCACCTAAGCCACAATTAAATAGGCAGACTTCAAGTAAAAAGGGCTGAAGTTATTTTCAGATGATTCATATTCACAAAATTACTTTTCAGCGGAGTGTTGTCACCTTTGAAAATGTTCTTCCTCTAAAATGAAAACACCATTACAAGTGGAAGACCGCATTTCACTTCAGCAATGTTTGCTCCTACAGTTAACAATGTCATCTGCCCTCATCGCTCACCCATAACAAAAATTCAATTCCCTTCTGCTGCTTTCTAATGTTTTGTCAGTGCCAGTCGGGCGCCACAGTATACTAGCCGTATCTATTCTCTGGAGATGGTCATAAAAGTCAAAGAAGAGGAAATATAGCCACTGTATGTTCACTTTTTTATTGAATATGCAGCACCCATGTTTAAGAAGACCCAAGCTTTCCCAGAACCATATATTTTCAAGATTGTATTCAACCATGAACACAAAAATTTCACCTGTTGACTGATTGTAATATGCGTAACGCAATTCTACTACTGTGTAGTATTCCTTGATTCCTACTTAGTTTTTGTTATCTCTATCTGTGTGTTTCAGGTGGAGTGGATTCAGCAGCAGGTGGTGAAGAGGAGGATCAAGAGGGATTACAAGCCAGACCCACCCCCTTCCCTGACTAGCCCCGCCCACAGCTACCCGGCTCAGAACAACATATTCTATAATGACGCCAAGTGGAGCAGCATGTGGTACATTGTGAGTACACTGTATACTGGGACCAGAGAAGTTCTTTCTCTCTCTTTGCACGACTACAGCACCAAAACAAGAATATCACAAGTTCAGAGGCAAATGGAGCCCAATATATTTTTGAGTCATCACTGCTGTTTGTATCTATTCTTCTTTGTCTACATTTGTGGGTCAAAGGTCAGCCGAGGGCATAGCATGATACTGATTACTGCAGGGTCAGTGGAGATGAGGGATTTGCGCGCGCGTGTGTGTGTGTGTGTGTGTGTGTGTGTGTGTGTGTGTGTGTGTGTG